GGGGAGATTGTCTCCGGGGAGGGACGGGTGCTGCTGTGCTGTGGAAGGACGACGTGTCTTTGGCCTTAACTCCGAGTAGTTGGCTCTGTACTAGCTAGGCAGGCTGCGTACGATTATGAAGCGATGCTCTTGATGCTACGAGTACGACACTGTTCCATTCGTTATGGGCATTCTCAGCTCCAGTTTCATACAAGCTTCCTTCTTGTTTCCCACTCGCTTTCTACCTAGCATATGTTTTTCTTATCCCGCGTTTTACTTTCATTCAGGTGAGTATAAGAGTATTGTTGGTGGTACTACTTTTCGTGCATTTTGCTATTCCTTGCATCCCTCTGAAATTCGAAACTGGATCCTCTAACATTAAGAAGAAAAGTTAAAGAAGCTACAATACCTTAACTTTTTCTCTTTCAATCCATATGATTAAGGCTAAAATTATTTAAATTAATTTACAAATTACGGATTTAATGTGTACATTTATAATCATTACATACAAATAATTCGATGATGAAATAAAATTAATTATAGATTATTTATGTCTACAATAAATATCAATAGTAAATAATAAACGCCTCTAACATTTCTTCTTTATTTTACACTAGGATTGCATTGTAGCATCATGACTTTGCTTTTCTAAGTTAGAGAATCCGGCTCCCTCAAATTCATGTATTTGAGCGTGCACTGCGCATACAGTTTGGAGCCGTGCAGTGCCGCTGCTTCCAGTTGGGCCGGCAGTCAGCAGCCGGCACTAACATTGACCCTTGCCGAAAGCGCGCGGCGGCATCTCCTTGTTTGGTGGAGCGAGGAGAGGACGGCTGGCCACGCCCAGCTGGATGCCAACCGGCCAGCTAGTAGCTAGGCTACACGACTACTCCCTCCATTCCACAATGTAGTGTTTCCTCTATCCACGTGCTTCAACTTTGACCATAAATTTAACTACCAAGACCGATTGCGGCGGGAATAAAAATTATATCAGTGAATTCATATTCGAAAAAAGTTTCAATTATATAACTTTTTCTCCCGCCGCAGTTGGTCTCGTTGGTTAAATTTATTGTCAAAGTTGAACCTCGGGAAACGCGGGCGCACTATATTTTGGAATGGAGGGAGTACTAGTATCCTGCTAACACTGTTCCGAGTCAGAATACGCGTTTGGTGCCCGAGTGCGGGGCGCCTGCCCTACCTACAGTATCTACGTACGTGCAAACATTATTATTCCGCTTTGCTCGGCTTCCTTCATTTACCTCTCAACTTTTCTAGCTAGACTAGAGAGCACGTACGTACACGAGCGAGCGAGCGAGCGCTCTCCTCTCCCTGTGGCTCGTGGTTGTGCTTGGATTTCTAGAGTAATCGAGCCAAACCCGACTCGCGGGATTTAATTCAATTTCTCTCTCTACAGGTTCCACTTTAAACCCAGCGCACGGAATAAAGTTGGAGCCATCACTTGAGAATGGATCGCCGACCGACAAAGCATGCACTGTCTCGAATCAAGGGAAAGGGTCCGTACCAGTACCAAGGATCTAGATCCGCATCCAGCGTCATGTCAAACGAAAAGAGCACACGTGTTAGACACCTTTACTCACACAAAGCTGTTTCACCCCGCTAATGCTTTCTGTATTGCTAAGAGCAACTACAACAGTGGGTTTATAGTCTGCTTATTATACTGTAATTTTCTTTTGCGGGGATATTATATTGTAATTCTTGCTTATATGAAGAAGAGAGGCATGAGAAAATAAAGAAAGTGGACTCTCATAGAAGAGTCACTCTATGTGCATGCTCCTAAACAAATACAGTAAACATGAAGAAAGAGATGAAAAGAATGTGAGAAAAAAAACTACTCTTATAGGCCCTAAATCTTATACTTCCTCCATTTCTAAATATAAGTTTTTTTAAAGATTTCAATAGAAACTACATACGAATGTATGTAGACATACTTTAGAGTGTAGATTCACTCATTTTGCTTCGTATGTAGTCCCTCATTGAAATCTCTAAAATGGCTTATATTTAGAAATGGAGAGAGTAGCTAAAAGTGACGACTTTAAATGACATGACAATATGCTCTAAGTGGTGTTTTAGTTACCCTGCCTTTTTTAGGCTGCATGACTAAGTACCTTAGATCCCAAGTCTTGAGCTGGTCCAAATCTAAAGCAGTGGAGAATCTCCCTAAAGAAACCACGCACGCGGTCAGGTCGGTCTTGGTCGGCAGCAAGTTAACGCAAATGCGATCCACCGAGCAGCCGGAGAATCCACCGTCAACCTGCCATGCAGTATAGGCACAGGACGATGTGTTCGCCGGTCTAGGGAACATGGCAAAGACAGGGGCGCAGCTCCAGCAAAAGAGATGCTCTAATCCTCCCCTCACCTGAACCAACCATGTTATTTGCTTCGGTGCAGGGAGTTATTGATTGCGATTGGCGTTTGGTGTCTATGCTTCTTAGTTTATGATGCGGTATCAGATGATGGATTTGCGTACCTGCCTGCCAGTGCCAGCAAAAAATATTTTGAGATGATGATTCGCATGCAAACGATTTGTCTGCAGCTGAGCTCAGTTTTTGAAGCCATCGCGTTTGAACAGATACAGGCAGGCCAGCACTTATGAAACAAGGAGACGACATATGGCCCAAACGAAAAAGGATGATTGCTAAGACTACATAATGCTAGACCAAACACAGCAGGTGAAGCAAATATTGGAACAAGGCAGAACAAAGCATCACACTGTCGCACACAAGCAGACAGATGCATGTGCGTGCAGCAAGGAAACAAAGCTGAATCTTCGCAAATCAACAACCAAACATCAACGGGAGATATGCTTCCGCCAACCGAGCTAAATGCTGTAAACCTATTATTGGCTCATCTTATTCTTGGGGCATGCCCTCTATTACTCATCTAGGTGGCACAAGCCCACTCATGTAGTAGTATACAACAAAAAGGGGCTCACGTACAGAAATGATACCCAGAACCAGAAAGAGCATATCAGCACACGAAAACTATGATGGTTACAGTGCGACTCGAAAGTGTTCAAACGCTGATTTGGACCAATTGCCTCGGGTCAAATCTCATGAATGTCTTGTGGTATCGACAGTGCACCGTAATCATCTGCCATTACCTGCAATCAAAGGAAAATTTCAACAATTTTTGTGTTATTGACAAAGGCACAATACAGACATGCAAACAGTTGTGCGTAATATGGATGGTAATAATCATCTAACCTTGTATTGCCGACCATGAAATATGTATTCGACGAGCAGTAGCTTCGGATCTCCAGGGCAAGGATCATAGAAGCCCATTATTCCGGACTTCTTTATCCCCTCGTGAAGCTGTAGGCAGCAGAAAGAGGACATTCAGTCGGATAACCAGATACATGTGCCAAATGGTTTAACCTACTTAATCTTAAAGAAGAGTGCAATGCACCACAGCCAATCTGGAGATGTAAAAAATAATGAAATGTAACCTAGCACCGGAGCAAAAGTAACATGCACTAGATCTTTAGCCATATTTTTTATGTAATTTCCCCTCTCTTTTTTATGTAAGGCGCCCGTGCAATTAAAGATTTAAGTTTGACCAACAATTAGACCAATGAAGCGTGGGCTATGCGATACAAAACTGATGCCGTTGGATTCACATTGTGAGTCATGACACATAAACCCACATTTTATTGGCCTAATTGCTGGCTAAACTGAACCATGAAACAGCAGGGGCCTTGAAAGGAGAGAATATGACTTCAAGATGCTAGCTACTAATAGGTCATGCAGCAGATATATTCATGATCTCATTCATTAACAGTAATGGGGACTGAAGCTGACTTGTTCTGACAACTGCATTGAACGCGGGTATCTGAGAAATGATTAGTCGCATATATAATATGGAGACCAATTTTGGTTTCCTTAAATTCATGCACATGTATTTAGGAGGCAAAACTTATAAATATAAAATGGATACAGGCAAGTTATTCCTCGATTGTTTTATACCTTCAATATCAGAGCATGTTTATGCAATAAGCGACCTAGTACAGTAGTGCTCTAACAGACCCAGGAGAACTTAATCAAACCCTCTTCCTGGAGCATCTACAGTCCAAAGAGGAATTGCTAGCCTAACATGTCTTGCTGAAACGAGAAACCGAAGGTAGTAAAAAAAGAACAGAGATTTACAAAAGATAAATTTCGAATGCATGGATTGTTTTAAGAAATATATGATAATTTTATGACAGCCTCCATTTGCAAGTTGCAATCCACAAGTACCATACTGCTATTATTGGCCTTCTAACAGAAACACAAACCAGAAGAGCAAGTACAACAATAAAGATAAACTCACGGTTCTTCATCTTGTCAAGTGCTAGGTTTATAGTTCACATAAATAACTTAACTTATAAACAATATGATTGGAACATACCTTGAGCTGACCTGCCTCGGTCACGAGGAAGTTGAGTGGGATCGTCACATCTAATACTTGTGAAGCCACATTATCATCTATCTCACTAAATTGACTACTCTCTTTGACCTTTTTATGATTGCCATACAGAGCTTCTGTGATTACCAAACCATCACTCTCCTGCTGTTTATTCCTCTTGCGATTAGAGACGGGTTCCAGCAATCTTTGTGACTTCTTAGCTGCTTGTCTAGCTTCTGTTAGCTATACAGAGAAAGATGTCTTCAGCATGTATACATGACACAGGAAAATACGCCTTCAATCACTAGATGAGTTCATATCATTAAAAAAATATGAAATTTCGACAAGAAAAACACTGGCACCAATGCAGTCGAGGGGTATAAGCTAAATGCCGCAAGTAGCAGAAACTGAGAAACAACAATCCGATTTATTATCTAACATACTAATAAATTATGTTAAGGAGAAGTAAATGGATAGTCACAACTATGCATCTTGCCAAATGGGCTAACCCAAGTTATTTGTGCCATATAGAGCCTTCACAAACTGAACTAACATGTACTCCCTCCGTAAACTAATATAAGAGCGTTTAGAATACTAAAATAGTGATCTAAACGCTCTTATATTAGTTTACAGAGGGAGTAACAACCAAATATAGATGACTATTTCCTTAAACACAAATATGTGATGATTCAAACACAAAAGTTAACCAATTTGCCTTTTATGTGATGAAGTACATAAGCTGGTACATAAGCAAGAACACAAACGCTGATTCTACCTGTGTAGACAAGCTATCCATTTTTTCAAGTGTCTTCTGCTTTTCTCGCCTTAGATAATAAGGTTTCACAACATATGTCTGTCAAACAATAAGACACCACGGCTTGGCTTTAGTAACCACATTACAGATGCAGCAAAGGTAACAAAAGTGAGCTGCCTTATCTGCATGCAACTATCAGTTCACACATTTCTGCCAGGGTAAGAATGCAAGTAGGTCAGGAATATTAGAACCTGAAGTAGAAAATATAGAGTTGAAGGAATAGCAAATGCGCCGGTGACGAATAACGCATTGAAGTCAGTTGAAAGCAAGACCTGCACAGTTACTGAAGAATTCAGTGAAATCCAACAAGTTTACGATCTACCCCACTGTGTTACAGGGATCCATAACTGCAAGTAAATGAGTTGCCTTATACTCCCTCTGTTCCTAAATATAAGCCTTTTTAGATATTTCAGTACAAACTAGCAATGTGCCTGTGCGTTGCAACGGATCCAAAGTAGAATACATGTTCACAAACTTGAAAGAAAACACTCTAGTTTTGATATACATATATCACTAAAAAATATATTATGTTTCACTCAAAATATACTCCTCGGGCTGTTTTGATGAGGTGAGAGAGGGATGTGGTTGGTTTCAAGATACTAAGGGGTTTTCTACAAATTGAAGCAGAGGAGTGGGCTATTCTTGCAAAAAGGCCACAACTTACCTCACAGTCGTTAGATGCAGATCTAGTGGTCAGAAATGACGGATGGCAGACACGCCATCATCACCAACTGAGTCTTTTATAGGAGTAGAGATTACATGCGGATATATATAGACGTATTTTCGAGTGTAGATTCACTCATTTTGCTTCGTATGTAGTCCGTATTGGAATATCTAAAAAGGCTTACCATTTAGGAACGGAGGGAGTAGTTCCGTAAAATTTATGCTACATGTGCATCTATACTATCAGATAAAAAACAGGCAGGATTCAGAAGTGTAATAGCTCAACTTACTGGGATAACTAACTTTTGCCCAGCACGATTCAACTCAAATTTCCAAGTGACACCCTGCATCTCAGAGCAAATAATGAATATTAATATAACTGGCTGTGTAATAACATGCAACACGAATCGTACACAAACTAGTGAAACTGTTCCATGAGAAGAAAAGTAGCCAAGATTACATGATCATGAATGCCTGGTTGCTGCATGTTATCAAATACTCCCTCTGTATCAAAATATAAGACGTTTTTCGGTCTAGATTTAGAGCAAAAAACGTCTTATATTTTGATACGGAGGGAGTAGTATCAACTGCAATTTCCTAGTAATAATCCATATTCTGGTTTTTGTATTGGACAAACAATGAACATGCAAGAGTCGTTTGCTTCATTACCCATTACTGCTTGAATCAGTTGTTGATACTATTTTGTGCTCCCTCCGTCCCATAATATAAGAGCGTTTTTGACACTACGCTCTTATATTATGGGACGGAGGGAGTATTTTCTATTATTATTTCACTCAAGGAGATAAATAAATAAAGTTTTGGCAATAGTGCAGAGGCAAAAGGAGAAATAAAGAAGCAAACTGAGAACACATCCAACACAGGAGACCTTAGAAGCAAGCATATTCACCTGGATTCCTATATTATAGAGCATCCTTACTGTACTGAACTCTGATATCCGTCTTCCTCCTCCAATTTCAAAATCAAGGGCCGTGCTGCAAATAAGCAGTTCAAGAGAGAAGAGAAAGAAGTTACAAACTCGTATACCCGTTTATCAAAAAAGTGCAAAGCGGTGAGGTTTACATGGCCAGATAGAAGTAAGATCACAGCGGTATATACCTTCCAACTCTACCAGCAATACGACCATGGGACTTTGAGGAGAAACGATGGGTGTAATGAGCAGACGCCCCAAATGAATTAGTACCAAACTGGGTAGAAAAGGAAGTATATAGTTAATACAGGAGACAGCCTTCAAAGGCAAGTATTTGTTGCCTAATACAAGTGGTGAAATGGTGAAAAGAAAAGTACACAATTAGTTCATGAACTCAGTACAGTCAGACCAATTCAAATTAAATCTACATATGCAAATCATATTGTCCTTCAACCACAGGTCAGACATATTAAAGATGAATCAAACAGACAATATTGCATGTTCAGCGGTCCACAATTTTACCACAAAGGCAGGTGCATCACAATATATAACGGGGATATGTTGACTCAAATAATATATAATGGGGAGCTGTGCAAAAGAAAACGAACACAGTAGATTATTCGGAACAGAACAATATGACACTATTCAGAACTAGAAATAAATGTTGTGGAAACTTGGAATGTCAACTACTCCCTCCATACCATAATATATGTCATTTTAGCAGTTCAATTTGAGCTCCTAAAACGACATATATTATGGTACAGAGGAAGTATATGTTTCCAAAAAAATCCGTCTTGAAAAAAATCTGTCAATTGTTCGCTTATAGATAACCGAATCTGTTTTCTAAATAAGATTTACAGCTAAGTTGGTTTTGTAAATGAGAACTACCTTTATTTCTCCTGCCGCAGACCTTTTTTCATCCTTCTTGTGCCATCCGACAGATATATTTGATTCAGTACCAAGGACAAGTTGTATCTGGAGGATGGGGAAAAAATGAAGTAACATACAGGCAAAAAATCAGCATCAGCTTATCCAAACAACAGACATAAAACTGAAACAACATGAACAGTCAACCACGTGGTATCAGTAACAAACTATACTATATTATACCACGCACGTTGCGCGGAGATGTTATGCAATATATTTCAATAAAAGCTAAAATAAAAATGATTTGCTGGGTTTTGATTATTGTATAGTTGTAAAGTATTTAATAAATATAAATAGCACAATAGAATGGAAATTATCATGCATGTTGAGGTGGCCTTTTTCCTATGCATGGTTGCATGTTGAGGTGGGCCGTTTTCCATGCATGTTACATGTGATGAGGTGGCATGCTTGCATGTTGAGAGAAATATGTTAGTGGGACTTAGCTATCTAGATATAGAAGATAACCACAAGCATATAGTATATAAAACTAAAACGAATAACTATGCCAAGATGCCTCACTGGAGAGTAAACCAGAGGACGAAATAATGGCAAATTTTGGATTTGCGTGGAACTTGAAATTTCTATAAACGTAATCTCTGTCAATATTGTAATCTATCCACCAAGGTACAATTGACACCTGATTTCTGGGCATGGACTGGAAACGGGGTTGCATAAGCCACAAGTTCTAGGTTATGCGCAGCTGTAAATGAACAGTCAACACCACATACTGGACATATTTCAACTTTTGGATAGTATAATATTCATGTATTTACTGTCACACATTAGCTGTATATGGTCTAAAAGTTTGCGTAAACCTAATCGGCTGAGGAATTTTGCACTGCAAGTCCAAAACTAGAAAATATATTGAAATTAAAGAGATAATGGTTTGCATATAATCATATACAAACTCCAAACCGTTTCTTCAGCATCTGTGGTTGACATTACAGATCATGCACATGTTGTAATCATGTTTTTTGAATAGCTAGGTTCTCATATTGTTATTGTCGTCCGAAGTGAACTTACTTGCTTATGTTAGTCACATATTACGAATAAAGTGTTTAGGACACATGGAAAGAGCACCAAGTACAAGGGGACATACATTGCCAACAGTGTCTTCAGATAATTGGCGACTCCAGCCATTTGACAGGTTAACAGATCCATCTCTCAATGAGAGAGCAATTCCAGAAGTTGCTGTTGAATTTGGTGAAATCTGACTGAAGCAGGAAACACCAAAGAATTAGGATGTGAAATAGGGAAGGAAAACACAGAAAAGGCAAATTCTCACCGAAATGTCTGTACTCCAATAAGGGAACGTAATCCAGCTGTTGCCATGAAGTCTATCGAAGACACAGAAGACAACTGATGGCGCAGCACAGCAGTTGCTGCACCAGATCCAGTCGTACCATTGACGACCAAATTTCCACCAACAGTCACAGTGTTTTGCTTGGATACTGGCAGCTCAATTTCACTAGACATTCCCATTCTAGCAATTTTGAAATCAAAAAACTGAATCATTAATGCTGAAGAATATGAGAAATACAGAAGTTAATATGACTTCTAAGAAGCATTGATGGACAATATCTACGTCAAGAGGTTACTGTGTTTATTACTCCCTCCGTTCCTAAATATAAGTCTTTTTAGAGATTCCATTATGGTCCCTTCCCTGGACCCTGCGCAAGCGGGAGCTACATGCACCAGGTTGCCCATTATGGACTACATACGGAGCAAAATGAGTGAATCTACACTCTAAAATATGTCTATATACATCCGTATGTAGTTTGTAGTGGAATCTCTAAAAAGACTTATATTTAGGAACGGAGGGAGTAGATTTTTAACTCTAAAACAAGATGCCTAAGAACTTGGAATTGGATGAAAAGTAAATAAAACGGAAAGGTAATAATGATGATCACGAATGAATGTAAGTTTTCTGCAAGTAAAGGTCTATCATTCTGTACAATCCCTTTTCAGATATACAAAGGCCAGGACTTCTGTCTGCTAAAGGTATATATACAGTTAAAGCATGTTCCATCACCAACAAACATGTCAAACAATGTGAAACGGCACAAAATGATTATATCAACAAAATAAAATTTAAGGGATGAAGCCTATGATGATTACCAAGTTACCGAACTTAAAGAATTTACAAGATGGCAATAACCAAGAACTAAACAGAAAATGGCTTCTAAATTATGATAGGAACCTCGCACCGCATATATGAGAACAGAGGGTATATCATAGTAAAATGGAAAATACTCTGTACCCTCCCATGATGCCGTCACCATCTAAATATTGTGGCACTGAGATATTAGCTAGGATTGATCCAGTGGATCGAGCATGAACGAAAAGTTTCTCTTCCTCCTTACGCCGTCGCAGCTCTTCCAACTGTCGTTTGATTTCTTCGGGTTTATTTAACTTGGGACCAAGTTCCAGACCAGAATTTAAACCTTCCATGCCATAAATATCATAGATCTGTCTTTTGTTCTCATCCGATAGTATCTCATATGCATCACGTATCCGTTGGAAGTTTTCAGTTGCTACATCCTTCATCTATACAAGCAGAGAAGACAACAAAAGAAGATCCTAGTCAGGTCAGAAGAATTCAGGAACAAAAACTGTCGCAGATGAATTATTCAGCAAACTGCAGATGGCAAAAGTGCAAGCCTAACTACCGTCGTCAGAAATTTTAATCTTATCAAATTTAATATAAAGTTGCATTACAAAAAAACATGTAACAGCATGTCCCTTCTCTAAATTCCATTCGTCAAAGAACATTTTCTTTTGAAGGGGAGCCTTGGCGCAGTGGTAAAGCTGCTGCCTTGTGACCATGAGGTCACGGGTTCAAGTCCTGGAAACAGCCTCTTGCAGAAATGTAGGGAAAGGCTGCGTACAATAGACCCAAAAGTGGTCGGACCCTTCCCCAGACCCTGCGCAAGCGGGAGCTACATGCACTGGGGCTGCCCAAAGAACATTTTCTTTTGCCAAACTGATATTTACAGGATAAGTTTTGGGTCTGATCAAAATATAATTAGCAGGATGCTCGTGCTTGTGTTTCTACGGAAAGAGGTTACACCATGACAGGTTGTCACCTCTCCAATATCCGATCAAAATACACAAGACAGGTTGTTACCACATAACAAACGAAGATCTGTCCTGTTCCAGACTGACCAGCACAAAATGTAGGTTTTATTCACCCAGGCGTGCGCAGTTGACTTGGCATTACCCAGCCTCTTATGATCTTATAATTTTCCTAATAATCTCCTCAGATGCAATATGATTGATACATGATGAAGGAATAAACCCATACCACGGGAGTTGGCATATAGCCACAGACATTGACCAATCCTTCCCTTTGATCTCTGTCTCTCGGTGAAGAAGGAGAAATCACTACAAGCTATAGCACAGCAACAGCAATGTCTGTCCGAACCAACCAATGCGTAATTCAAGCACACGACCGCTCTGGATCAAACCAGTGGAAACCAACTGCTTAACGACCTAAAATCAAAATAATCAAATTCCTACACAAATTTTGCCCTGACACACCGTACCGCAAGCTACGGCAATGTCACCACCAACAAAAGCTCTAAGCGTAGCAACCCTAAGCCACCGCTGGACAATAGCCAATTGGTCCCACCAATCGAATCTCATCGGCAGCACGGAGAGAGGGGGCGGGAGGGCTACCTGGGGGTCCTGGTACTTGTCGGGGTGGTAGATTTGCGCGAACTGGCGGTATGCCCTGCGGATTTCCTCGTCGGAGGATTCCGGCGAGAGGTGCAGAAGAGCGTAGAGCTCCCTCCCGTCCTCCGGCTCCGGCTCCGGCGCCATCACGCCGTGCGGCTGCTTCTGCTTGCCGGGCACGGCGGTGGGGGTTGAATGGGGGTGGTTTTTCGGACGCGAGGGTTTATGGTGATTTTCCTTCTTCTTCTTGGTGGATTTGCTCGGGATTAATAAAGAGTTCTTCGATTTCTACTTCCGCCTCAAGACATCCATCACAGGGTGAAGGAACTATACATCCGTTTTGTTTCCTTTCCTGAAGAAATATACGGTTCCGTTTTCTCGCCTGGGTGACGTAAAGAAGAGAGGACGTCGTCGCCGTAAGAAACAGGTACCGTCCCTGACGAGTGACGAAGTGCGGAAACCTAACCTCATCTCGTATGGGCCCCCTATGTCTCGCGCGAGATGTAGGGAACCCTCGCACCGAGGCGAGCACCAGATGAGCCGGCCCAGCTCGCGGCAGGCCACAACCTCGGATTTTTTCTTTTTTTTCATATTTTTTGCTTTCTATATTATTTCCAAATTCCAAATGTGCTAAGTAAATATATTTTTAAAAACACTTTACATAAAAGTTAAATGTGTATAGAGAAAGTGTTTCTCATGTAATACAAAAAAAAATACAACGTGTATGAAAAAAATTGATCATGTATTTAAAAAATGTTAATCAAACATTTGAAAAAATGTATTTGAAAATGTTAATAAAAATACCTAAAAATAAAGGTGTATAGAAAACTGTTGACCATGTATTCAAAAAGTGTTAATCTTGCATTTGAAACAAATGTTAATCAAGCATTTAAAAAATATTAAAGGTGTACAGAAAATATTGATCATGTATCAAAAAAGTTAATATTGTATTTAATTTTTTAATGAAGCATTTAAAAATGTTAAAATGTGCATAGAAAAAATGTTAAACATGCATTAAAAATGTTAATCGGGCATTTGAAAAATGTTAAAAATGTGTATAGAAAAAATGTTACCCGTGTATTAAAAAATCTTAAACCTGTATTTACAAAATGTTAAACGTGTATTAGAAAAATGTTTTTGATGTATACAAAAAAAGTAGAATGAAAACCAATAGAAACAAAGAAAAACAGAAAACCAATGAAAACCGAAGAAGAAACAAAGAAACAAAAAAGGAAATAGGAAGCAAATAAAATCGGTAAGAACCGTGTAAAAATGAAAAGGCTGATGAAAACATAAAGAAAAATAAAAAACTGAAGAAAAAAAAGTAAAGAAAAACAAAGAAAGGAGAAAAGGAAGAAAAAGAAAAGAAGGAAAAAAGGGAATAAAACCGGACCAAACAAGTGCAGGAGCGACGAGTAGCGAGAGAGCGATCGATTCGAGCGAGCGAGGGAGGAGAAGAAAATGGCCCCCGCGTCGCTCCCGCAGGGGCGACTCGGGCGGCGATAACCTAGCCTACCGCCAGCCACCGCACCTCCACCCCCTCTCCTTGCCCTCGCCACCACCGAAGGGGGTCGCCGGAACGACGCGTGTCCGCCGGGGAGGGTGGTGGCGAGGATCTGTCCGCCCTGTCTCATGTAGGGGGCTATGGAGCCGAGGCGGCGGCCTTTAGTGGTGGAGCGACGGCGACCTCAGCGAGCGGCCATCGCTAGTGCTGGCCGCCCCCTTGGCCGCGCGGGTGGCAAGGCAGCGGCGGGTGGTGGCTCTGGGGCGCGGTGGCCGCGGGAGCGCCCGCCCCGGATCTGACGCCTCCGCCTCCAACCCTTTCGACCCTGACAGATCTGATCTCCGGCTGCCGGCGTCGCGGCTGTGCTAGGGGCGAGGAAGACGTGGGGCCCGGAGAAATCCAAGACTGGCTCTGCCGGCCACGACGACGGCGATGCTTGAGGGCGTCGTTTCCTACTTGCAGGCACCGTTAAGGTTATCCCTTTCCCCCTTTGCCTCGTTCCCCTGCTCGTATACCGGGGTGAAAACCCAAATCCCTTTGGATTGGGCGGCAGCAACGCTCACGGTGTCGTCACCCTCATGGAGGTGCCGCCTTCGGTGAGTTTGGGGCGGTGGTGAGTTCGATCTGGTTGGTAGGCGTTTGGCGGCGACATGGTTGGAGCTGGTGGCGTCTTGGTGGTTCCCTGTTCACCATCTGCAGTCATGGCACCGTCTCCAAGTTCAGTCTAGTGGCTTCCCTCCATTGTTGCTCTGTCATCGGTAGCCCCATCGTGCATTTGCTTCTTCTTGCGTGTTGGTTCCCTCCTAGTGCCATGTTGCCCTTTGTTGAGCTCGGTGACGCGTGTTGGTGGTGCTCTGTTATGGCTTTTCATGTGGCTATGGCGTCGGGTGTACACCTTTACTCTTGGGAGAGCGTTCTCATCGTCCGACAGATCGACGCCTCATGCTAGGCGAGGGGCTAGGGAGCCCCTTTCAAAGATGTATGAGGTTGTCGGCGATTCGGCCGGAGCCCATGGAGCCGCCACCATTACTCCCGCCTGCTAGTTGGGTCTCCTCAAGGCCTGCTGGTGTCTCAGTGGGGTGGATCGCACTCGGTGGAGGGCTTCATCGTCTTCAAGCTGTTCTTGTATTTTAGATTCTGCATCTTTGCTTGTAGATGGTAGGAAGCCTATTAGCTGCTTGCACAACACTCTTGTACCCTTTTAGTTGTTTTCTTTGTTTCGTCTCTGTAATTGGTGTTTGCTGTAATTCTGGCCGGTTGATGAATTTGTTAATTCAAAGTCGGGCTCGTCCTGAGCCTTTGTTCTAAAAAAAGGAGAAGAAAATGGGTGGGCACGGTTCGTACGCAATAGCGAAATCCCTTCAGGTAAGAGCAACTATTCCTTATACAACCTACAAGGGGCCCACAAGCTCATACTGTGTGCCCCCTCCCAATGCTTCCAGGGTCCCTTCTGGTTTCATAAAAAATCACCGTAAAGTTTCATTGCATTTGTACTTCATTTGGTACTGTTTTGCCACGAAACAATAAAATAGGCAAAAATAGAAACTGGCACTTGGTTAATAGGTTAGTTCCAAAAAAATGATATAAAGTTCCATATAAAGCATATAAGATTGATAATATAATAGCATGAAACATTCAAAAATTATAGATACGTTTTAGACGTATCAAGGGATATCTCCGTGTCCTCGGTATAGCTGGGGCCATCTTCTCAGGCATGGTCTTCTGGTTGCGGAGCTGGGGAAATTACTTTCTCAAACCGGCACTTCCAGCCCTGCTCGCATATGTTAGATAACTGACCATGATAATAAAACCATGTTCAAATAAAACTTGAGATATGGGGTATAGAAGCTTACCGCCTTGACCGGCTTTTAAGTGGAAAAGCCACCAAACATTGGCTGCTTGAGGGAATCCCCCCACCCCCCTTGAAAATAGCCTCCAACGCAACCGCCAACGATTGCCAATCCTTGTAGCCTTTCTTGATAGCTTGGGTCGCGTTGTCGGACCTGTTGTACTTCCATAGCGGATGTGTGCGTTGTTGGAGAGGTTGATCTCCTCGGGCCATAGCCATAGCCATCACAATGTGGATGGTAAGCTTGTGGCGATCGAGACAGGAAACTCGAGTGGCCATCCGGGATACCTCAGCATCAACTTCCTCGGACAAACTTCTTGCTCGCCAGTTGTCCCGCTTCCTTGGAGGAGGATGAGAAAAAGGAGGAAGCCCCTGGCGAACAGGATCCTCCGGTGGAACGTCGACGATGTAAAACCATTCGGATGGCCACACCCCGGCCCCCTATTTTGGGGTGCACGGAAGGTAATATGCACCGGCGATCCTGCATACCTCGTCACCACCAAATTCAAAGATTGTGTCATCCCGGGAGCAAGGAATTAAGCAAAAAATACTGCCACCTCAGCTCAATGTGGACTTCGTAGCCAAGAAAGGCCTCACAAAGAGTAACGAAGCCTGATATGTGAAGGATAGAGCTGGGCGTGTGGTGATGGAGTTGGATCCGGTAGAACTCTAGAAGGCCCCTAAGGAAAGGATGTATGGGAAAGTGATACGCCCATTTTGCATCATGCTTTTATATCAATATTTATTGCATTATGGGCTGTTATTACACATAATGTCACAATACTTATGCCTGTTCTCTCTTATTTTACAAGGTTTACATGAAGAGGGAGAATGCCGGCAGCTAGAATTCTGGGCTGGAAAAGGAGCAAATATTAGAGACCTATTCTCCATAACTCCAAAAGTCCTGAAACTTCATGGGAGCATGTTTTGGAATATATAAAAAATACTGGCGAAAGAATTAACCAGAGGGGGTCCACACCCTGGCCACGAGGGTGGGGGCGCGCCCCCTGTCTCGTGGGCCCCCTGGCAGGCATCTGGTGCCCATCTTCTGCTATATGAAGTCTTTCGTCCAAGAAAAAAATAATAAGCAAGCTCATGGGATGAAACTCCGTCGCCACGAGGCGGAACCAACCTAGGGCTCTGGCGGAGCTGTTCTGTCGGGGAAACATCCCTCCGGGAGGGGGAAATCATCACCATAGTCATCACCATCGATACTCTCATCGGGAGGGGGTCAATCCCCATCGACATCTTCACCAGCACCATCTCATCTCAAACCCTAGTTCATCTCTTGTATCCAATCTTTGTCTCAAAACCTCAGATTGGTACCTGTGGGTTACTAGTAGTGTTGATTACTCCTTGTAGTTGATGCTAGTTGGTTTATTTGGTGGAAGATCATATGTTCAGATCCTTTATGCATATTAATACCCCTCAGATTATAAACATGAATATGATTTGTGAGTAGTTACGTTTGTTCCTGAGGACATGGGAGAAGTCTTGCTATAAGTAGTCATGTGAATTTGGTATTCGTTCGATATTTTGATGAGATGTATGTTGTCTCTCCTCTAGTGGTGTCATGTGAACGTCGACTACATGACACTTCACCATTGTTTGGGCCTAGGGGAAGGCATTGGGAAGTAATAAGTAGATGATGGGTTGCTAGAGTGACAGAAGCTTAAACCCTAGTTTATGAGTTGCTTCGTAAGGGGATGATTTGGATTCATATGTTTCATGCTATGGTTAGGTTTACCTTAATACTTCTTTTGTAGTTGTGGATGCTTGCAAGAGGGGTTAATC